TCTCTCTCTCTCTCTCTCTCTCTCTCTCTCTCTCTCTCTCTCTCTCTCTCTCTCTCTCTCTCTGTGTGTGTGTGTGCGTGTGTGTGTGTGTGTGTTTTTGTGTGTGTGTGTGCTGGGTACCTGGTACTCAGCTGCGAAAGGTGTCGCCTTGATGCAGTTATGGACGCACGGAAGACGAAGCTGGAGCGCTGCAGCCGAAAGGTAAGCCCTCAAGTAAGTCCCCTGGCCTCTTCAATAACCCAGTCTCTCTCTCTCTCTCTCTCTGTTGCAATGTACTGCAGCTGCGCAATACTAGCGCTTAAGCCCTACTGCTGTGCTATGCTAGCACTGGAGTCCTACCTCTACCGTCTACTACTACGACTACTGAAGCGTGCCGGCACGAAGTGCCTGAAGAATGAATGCTGCTTCCTTGATGGACCAGATATATATAGCGTTGGACCGTTGGTCCGGATGGGAGGCTGCTCTCACCAATGCCCGACAGCGCCAGTGTCTGGTGCCCAGAAGTCTGGCACCGAAGTTGGCCCCCGAATTTGAATCCCTGAATTTGGAAAAGGCCTGAAGCAGCCTGGGCTACTAAGGGGGCGTCAGGGCCTACCTACAGGCCGACCGACCTACAGGGTCTTCCTAGTTCACAGGGGCCAGGCCATGGAGGGCCCCTACCTATAGTGAAACAACACAGGGCATGTAGGGCCCCCTATCTAACCCCTAGCCTACCTGGGCGGGCCCTGCAAGGGGCAGGTTGTGATGCTTCCTTAGCTAGTCTATGTCGCTCGTAGTGGGTGTAGATCAGCGGTGCGGATGCTTGCAAATCTGCTCGCGAAATCCACCGTGTGTCGTCGCAGTCGCAACCTTTAAATGTGGCCTTGTACTTCATCAGCTTCTTATTGTACTTGCGGTGCATGACGACACGATCGATCTCTTGATGACCATCCATAGACTGAGGGTGCTTCCGCTCCTACCATCGTCGGTCCGGGAAGTCGTCGCTCTTGGCTCAGTTGGTTGCTGTGTACGTAGCCAGCCATCTGAGCTATGGGGCTCGTCGCCCGCGGCTGATGTAACGGTCCACGGTCCAAACCACATGGGGAGTAGATTGCGTGAAACATTTCTGCGGATACCCAAACAAGGTCGTCAGTGCGGATAGGACATGGCGAGTGACACCGACTGACTTGCTGTTGCATGGGGACTAGAGCCTTTTGCATGTTTGCGCGGGCTTGAGCCAGCAAGTCCCGGTACTTCCAAACAGAGGCGGGAGAGTAAGGGGCATCAACGTCGGCAATCAATAGGAGTAAAAGATCGACAAAGATACGACCTTTCTGGCCACCGTGGTGCAACTCGAATGGAGTCACGTCGATCGCCGGATGCAACGAAGTGTTGTAGGCCAATTCGATGTCGGGGAGGCGGTCAACCGAATCCGTCTGGTCCAGACGGACGAGCGTACAAACTACTCCAAAGCATCATTTGAGCGGTTTGATGTTCCCACTTTGTTTGCCTGTCCATTCTATGTATCACCCGCGGTCATGACCACGGACCATTTTACCGCATGCGGTCATGGTCATGCCCGCGGGGGGCGGCCGCGGGGACCAACCGCGGCCAAAAAAAAACCGTGATTTAAAAAAAATAGAATAATAAGCCAAAAAGATAAATAAAAAAAAGGAGGGTTGTAGGGTTTGAAATTCCCTACATCCTCATTGTTTTTTCTTTGGATTTTCATGCTTTTTGGGATTAAAAAAAAATAAAAAATGAAAAAAAAAGGTATTAAAAAAAAAAAAAAACACAATAAAGAAAAGGGAACTTTTTTTTTTCATTTCTTGTGATTGCTGGTGTGTGTGTGTGTGTGTGTGTATGTATATGTGTGTGTGTGTGTGTGTGTGTGTGTGTGTGTGTGTGTGTGTNTGTATATGTGTGTGTGTGTGTGTGTGTGTGTGTGTGTGTGTGTGTGTGTGTGTGTGTGTGTGTGTGTGTCTTAACTTTCCATATGGCATGCATTGATACGAGACATCATTATCACGCATTTCTCTGACGGCAAAGCGTCGGCGTGCCTCGCACCCGTGGTACCTGCAGGTATGGTACGACTCGTCGCGTAGTTGGAGGGCCATCTGCTGAAGCCAGGATAATACTGCGTGCTTTCCTTAGCGTAATTCCTTACCGACGTCCATGGGTCATTCCAAATGCCTATTTTTGAGAAGAAGTGAGACAAAAGGAAGTGTCACAAAAAGAGGAAAGAAAGGGGATTTTTTCCCGCACGAGACAGAAAGCACTTACACACTCACGATACGAAACCATGATTAGTAAAGCTTTATAAATAAAAAATTAGATTCAGTAGCTAGACTGTGTTCTGTCTCCCGTAGTGTGTGAAGGTACGCCTGATCGAGGGAGGCCCGGCTATCGGGAGACTGTCTCGATGATAAGAACAACATAGGAACAGTTCATATCCGAAGTCCAACGATGGCGAACACATACATTGTTTTGTATGTCTACATGAGTAGTGGGTTAATTATGCTTGCACTAGACACGGGTTGATGCGTCCAAGGAAGGCGAGGAAATAGCGGTAAGGGAATTTCTAACTGAGGACATAATATCGTAGATTACTTCTTTTTCAATAGTTTTTTTTTGTATGTATATATATATATATATATGCATATAGAGTCGGATCTAACAAAAAGAAAAGGCACATCAAAGTTTCAAAGCGAATGACGACATAGATGGAAGCAGTAATAACCTGTGTCGCACACCAAACATGTTCGGCGCCCCACCAAGCAGCCAAACGTGTTCGGACGCTCGGCCGAGCGGGAACCGAACATGTTCGGCCGCGCGCAAATTAGGGGGCTGCCGAGCGTGTCCTCATGTGTGTGTGGTGTGTGGGGTGTGTGTGGGGTGTGTGTGGGGTGTCTGTGTGTGTGTGTGTGTATGTTCAGGAGTGATGAGTGATGCCCCCCAGAGCCCCCGAACTCCTATATGTATAAAAAATAAATAAATAAAATAAAGATGTTCGGGCTCGGTCTATACAGGGCCACGTTCGGGCTCGGTACCGAGCATTCGGGTTCGGTCACCGAGCCCGAGCACGATGCTACGCAGGTAATAACCGTTCTAATCAAGAATAGTCCGGACTTCAAGTTATTCGGCTATTCGGAGTCCTCGTTATTGGATGGGTCATCGGTGTTTTGAGGATCAGACTCAAGGACGAAGAGATCGGGTAAGGGAAGGATGACGGTCACCGATTTTTCAGTGTCATAAGAGTTTTCATACATGGATTTGCAGAGATCAAAGGCGTTTCTGATCGACCAGAGTGAAGGTCTCGGAGAAAAAAATAGGCACGAGGCTTTTTTAAATAAGCAACGGCAATCTCAATCATTTGACATGTCACAAGTAGTTTTTTCAATAGCAAACAAAGGAGGGGAGATGGTAAAAATGAAAAAAAAAAAATATGTATATATATATATATATATATATATATATTGCGATAAACACGATTTTTTGCGTTCAAGACAGGCGAGAGGGGTGTAAATAACGACCACCAGGTTTAGCGGTGAGAGGATTGCTACTGAGGATACTCTTTTTATTGACTCAGACCAAGTGGGAAGAAGCGACACAACAAATTTACAAAGCAAACGATGACGCAGATTGAGGGTGCAATGACCCTTTTAGTAGAGAACAGTCCGGATTACTCGGATCACTGCAGATCTCGTTACTTGAAGGGTGATCGCTGTACCGAGGATGAGATCCAAT